AATTATCATAATAATAGTGGAGGCATACGGGTGGGGTGGCGGCCCCGTCAGCTGAGCGAAAACGAAAGTAAACAGAACTCGGTCAAAGGGTTTGTACTCACCTACCCACAATATTTATGTGGGTACGGGGCTTACGGGGGGTACCCACACCCGATTCAGTCACCCCTCCTTTGATGGATTGGTTGGCGACTGGTGCGGATGTTCGACTGAAACTCAGCCGAACTCCGCTGCCTGGCATTAGTCTCGATTTCCGTCTATACTCTGTTCGCGACAAACTTTTATCGCTAAATTATTATTCAGCGAAAGTTCTCAGAATTCTTTGCGTTTTGTTTTCAGAGTACACGACCTACCACCCACCACCCCTGCAGGCTTCGAAAGTTACTTGGGTGACACGAATTGTTAAAATAATATTCCTTGTCGAAAATGTTTACTTTTAAACTTTGCCATTTCCTTTCATGGCTAAAGTAAGCGAGGGGAAATGTGCAAAGTTCAAATTGCATATTCGGCTGCTTTTCGATGTAACTGCTTTCCTTTTTCAATCCTTATTCGAATAATAGCATCATGTCTCACATCTGCGTTCGTTCCTCCGGCGCTAATGGTGATGACAATAGCGGTGAGTAGCGTCAGGTATTGAATAGGTTTCGGCTTTGCCGCTAAATGAGCCGCTGCATATCCAATTACGTCGCCCGTATCGGGTCGTGAAGGTGTTCCTTTCAGAACCCTATTTATAAATACTATAGCCACTCAAAGCCGATTAACACATCACTCGTTTTAATTTCGATTAGGTCGCTATATTCCCTTTCTATATCTCCGGTTAATATGAAATGATATTGCTATTATTAACATTATGAATATATATATATATATATAAAAATAAAAAACATATATTGTTGAAATAATGTTTTTATTGTATTAATATTTTCAATGGTATATTAAAATAAAAAATCAAATAAGTTGAGATAAGCTCATTTAGTTTGTTTGCATTCCATGTAGTTTATAGACAAGGGAAAACGAGAATTACTCTTGACCTGAATTGGCAAATCAGACCTGCTTTATCTGTAGCCTTGAAACGTGATGCGAAAACTGGCTGTTGAGTGAAAGCATTGTTGTACGTTTGATGCAATGATTGTATACGGTGTCTGGCCGGTTACCGTTTGAATACACACCGCGTCTTACCAATAGCAAAGCCATAGTATAACCATTAATCGGCTTAAATAAAGCCTTCCCTTCAACTTGGTTCGGACGCTTGTCAAGTGCTATCACATAGAGACAGGTGGATAACTCCGATTTTGCATAATTATCCTTTGGGGTTCGATCTGTTCAAAGGAAATTGCCTAAATCTGTAATTCGTTAAGGGTGTTAGTGTTTATTTCCTACATATTATGTGTGATGTACGCATGTTTTAAGTTACTATAAAATTGTAAATTAGCCATAGTTATGGTCAGCTATCTTAAGAATATCGTAAGGCTCTATGCAGCGTGGGAGGACTTTTATACAGAAAGAATACACGTATTATAAGTACACGTGCATCTTCAGTCTAGGTAACGTCTTCAGCATTCTATGGTATACACACACCGTAGGACGTGACTCTTTCAAAACAAAATTGAACATAGCATACGAAACGTTTATTTGTAACCGTTATTGAACGCTTTTCGTAAATTATTCTAAACGTAATTATGTATGATGTATGTGTGTGTGTTGTAGGCGTAGATGCGTTACGATGCACTCGTTTGCAAGTAAACGGGTGTGCATAATGGTTGCACGGTCAAGGTCGACCGTGGCCGCCAACCTGCTCTTGCACGTGGTCGATTGTTTCATACGTCTTTTGTGTGTATGTGGGCCGTGTTAACGGGTAAATTATGTAATTATGACGTAATAATATGGTAGGATTGTAAAATTATTGTAATACGATCAATAACAGTGTCTGTAACTTTGGTAATCAGTGCCAATGAACATAAACTGAGCGAAATTAGCAGTAGGCTATATTTTTTGAATTGGTGTGCCTGTGAGATTTTTGAGACAATACAATAGAAGATTGCCTGAAAATTGGATGAATGCAAGTCATGCGAAAACCGCAACCAAATAGCTTTTATAGGGCTGTGTTCTTTCAATGAAAAACTTTGTTGTAACACTTGTGTTGCTTCATAAACATAATACCTACTTCGTTTTAGTCCATGTGACTGAAACTTAAAGGCAAAAAAAAAAATTATTGGTTGCACTAAAAGCGCAGGACTCCAAGAAGCGAAGCGATCAGTAACGTTTCATTTTAAGAGAGTTCTACTTGTAACTGCATTATACTCTTATTCTGAGTTCTTTTATTCTAATTCCATCTTTATATTGGTAGAAATTTCTTGTGAGGTTTACGTTATAACTGTACAAAATTGATTAAATAATGATATTACATTAATTTAATTAGATATATAAGTCCACAGATGTGTGAAATAAACATATGTTCCGCAGTGTGTCGATGTCACACGATGTCGATGCAACCAACATAAAAGGTACTTAATCAGTCTTCATTTCCATGGTATCCGTACCTACTCTGTTTAAATAGTTTAATGAAGACGTGAATAAAATTGTTAGAATTATCAATAACCAGTCAATGCCAATAATACTATTTACGTATACCCATATCTTATATTTTTTACAGGCATATCTTCTCATTTTCACAACAATACTAAAATAATGTCTTAAAATATGGGCGATAAAATTTAACGATATGACTGAAGTAAATTAATGAAAACCTATTTGCGTTATATGAGCCTATAGAAATGGATAATTCTTGCAATAATTAAAAATAAGAATGAATGGTTAATTAATGACAGCATATTCAGAGGTTCGTTAGATTTCCTCTAATATTCATTACATTTGATGAGATCTGTCTAGGAGCCATAACAATCAGTGTATATTATGTGATGTCGCCGGGTGTCCCGGGTATGAATAGCAGTAGATTGAGAGCAAACCTAACACGGATATGTGATTGGGTATCTACTTCAACGCAGCCTCGACTATCGTCTAAATTGACAATATTCTCAAGAGATCAAATTAATTAAAAGTACCTGGACTCACAAGCATTACTGAATTAGTTACATGAATGAATGATGTCTTATCCGTGTAATATCTATATTCAAGTATATATAATCTATTTAGAATTGAAGAGTTCCAGTGTCAGGGTCTAGTCAACAGTTCTTTACTGTACGTGACGGATACGTCGAACGTCATGCATGAGTTAAATCTATCGACGACCTCGGTGGTCTGGCTGTCTAGCATACCGTTTTACGTCCGATGGTCGCGGGTTCGATTTCTCGCACGGCACAAACATTTGTATTCATGAGTATGATTGTTTGTATCGGTCTGGGTATTTTCTATGTATAATATGTATGTATTTGCGGAAAAAAATCTATGTATTTGTATCAGTTATCTAGTACCCATAACATAAGGTAACTTAGGTCTAGATGGCACTGTGTGAATTGTCCTGAGATTATTATTATTATAAATCTGCCGACACAAAATATCTTGAAGTAAAGTATATTACTACCAAATTTTCCATTGATGGAAACACTTTTAATAAATCAAAGTAATGACGGATATGAACTTGGCCTTTACGAGGATTCAAATATACCCAACAAATTAAGGGGTATGTCCAGAACCACTATGTCTATTGAATATATTTATAATGACTTATCTGTGATAGACTTATCACAAAAAAATATTTAATTATACTCGTCGATTTAAAGATATTGATTCGTATATTCAGCGTCGAAGAAACTTGTTTTGTAATTCGTCAAACGTAAAAAAGTTGATGATATTTGAAATCTCCATATTGAAAGTTTTCTGGTGTGACATACGGCATACTGAGTATATAGTTTATATCATTCATTCATAAATTTAAGAGCAACGCTCTTGTCGGAGGAGCTCTTGCCACTTTCTACGATCTTCCAACATATTCGATAAGGGTATTGGAGTCGTGTTGTATCAAGATATGACACGGCTCTAATTCTGTCTTTCATTTGCTAGATGCAGTTGTGCCTTGGTCTTCCTCTTCCTCTCTTTCCTTCTAGCTTTCGTCTGGCTAAGACCGGTCATTCAAATTCAAAGCTAATTCCTAATGCCATATCTTTTTTGTGGTATAAAAAAAAGATACGGCATTAGGAATTAGCTAATGGTGGCCAACAAGCATACGGTCTATAGTATTATAAACGGTTCGAGGGTAACCGTTTACCATCAGATGGGACGCCAGTCCTTGCCGACCCTTAAGAAACCATAATATACGCTTTTTGACAATAACCCTATCTTGTAGTCTCTAGGGAAACCCTTACCTGGCAGGTAGTTCATTCCACAATCTATATGTGCGCGGGAAAAAGCTCTGAAACCGCACACCTCCAATTTCCTACCAATAGGAAATCATTATATTATCCTTAAACTGTCGTAGAATGAATAGATAAGTAAATTAGAATAGCCGTGTTAGCGTTTTTGGAGTCACGGTCAAGGGCACAGAGTTTAGTTGGTAGTGATTAATCGACTAGTCAGTTTGAAACATAAAAATTACAACCTTTCAAACAATTTCATTCTCGTTTTTCGTTGGAAATATATTTACGTGAAACTTCACTCTTATTCGACTCGGTTTTTTAATGTAGCTATGTATGTATATTCTCAATTGTTTTCAAATAAAATCGCTGGTATGCAGATCTGGTATGAAATTAACAAATGTGTGTAAAATTGAAATTAAATAACAATGTAAAAAAAGAAAATGGATTGTTTTGTCTAGAATTATTTTAACGTAAATAACAATATAATTACGTGCGTCACGTCTAATGCATTTGCTTGTTAAGAATGACATTAAATACGGAACAACATTATTTATTATAATAGTGTAATAGTAGGACGAAAATCACTTACATAAAATGTAAATATATGTACCATCACTGTTTGTAGGATTGCGATAATTCAATACATTGATCTCACAAATTAACTTGTTTTTTTTTTTATTATTGATACAGGGATACGAAAGGGGCGGATCTCCTCAGCCGCCTACCCAACCGCCTCGCGCACCCAGTCCTGGACCAGGAGGGCAAAGCGCCCCTGGTGCGCTCTCACCTAACCAAGATACACAGCATCCGCCACACTTGCCTCCGCACGGGTCGCAACCACCACTGCAGCATCAGGTAATGTTTCCATAGACACTAATACGACAAAGGAATTATAAAGTTATATCATCTAAGTTGGTTAAAAGTCCCAAAACGAAATAATAATAATTTTAATTTAGGCTTATCGTCGTTTATTATCTCCATTCATAATTTCCATTAAGTCAACATACCACACACCACTCTATGTTTGTATAGATTGTTGAAATAAATATTCATAAGTACTTAAATGTAACGAGAGGGAACCGCAATGTTTTCCTAGAACATTAGTGGTTTAAACAACTCGTTCCATTAGTTGTCCTTGCAAAATACTGCCGCTGGCCAATATAAATATTATACGAATATCCTACCTTTTTAGTCCATTTATCAGAAACACTACGGGACACAAGTTTGTTCAATGATTTCTCCTGAATTCTCCTGAATCTGGCCTTTTCTTGCAAAACTAAAAGAGATCAATCATCGCTTTTCCTTTTTAACGCCAACTTTTTAAGAGTTTTCCGCCCTTTTCACGTATGCCGAATATACCCGGATTCACCTTTATAAAAATATTTATTTTTCTAATAAAAGTAGACTGAAGAAAACTTTGATTATTCAAAATTCACTGAATCTTCATCATTAAACTGTTATTTAATCTAATCTATATCTCTACATATAAATAAAAATGGAGTGTCTGTTTGTAATATTGAAATAACAGTTTTTTACTACATGCATATGAATATAAATACGGTACATACACCAAAATAATATTTTTTACAATATTTGTCTGTCTGTCTTTTTGTTCCGGCTAATCTCTGAAATGGCTGGACCGATTTTAACTGGACTTTTATTGACAGGTAGCTGATGTAATAGGAGTAACTTAAATAAAAGATTTTTTATAAAATAAAGGTAGCCTATACCTTTATTTTATAAAAAATCTTTTATTTTAGAAAAATATAGTTAAATTCCACGCGGACGAAGTGGCGGGAGTAGCTAGTTACATTACAAATAAAATTAATTTTTAAAAGTATACACTAACACCACGAATTTATTGAGGTTTATAGCCATTTAAAAATTCTCTCCTATAAAATAAACAAAATATATTTGAAGTCCTATAGAGTATACTAGCACATGTACATGACGCTATAGACACATTTGCTTGTCATTAATCGGTATATTGTCAAAAGCTAATATAGTAATCTCAAACTCTTATGGCATTTTAATCATTTATAAGTAAGTTGATTTTTTATTTAGGTTACAAAAATGATCGTTTATTTATTTTAAACATTAATATCATTATGGACTTTAGAGTAACTAATGGTTTTAATATAAATGCTACTGGAATAAGATATTATTTATTTTATATATAACCGCCGAATTTTTTATCAAAATATTTTACTCGATCTATAGAAAATGTCTCCATAATACCATTATTATTATAATATCATTACATACTAAAATATTTATACGAATGAAGGTACATACGTATAGCACAAACAGGAAATGGGAAAGAGACCGTGAAGTATGAAACAAGTTTAATTATTAATGTGAGCAATTCCGTTTACTCTCGAAGTCGAGCCAGTATTTTTATACTTACCCGACTACAGCCATTACAGACATCAGAGTAAAAACAAGTACTTTCCTCACTGTCTACATTATGTTTTGTTTCTTATTCGAAATACATGAATGAGCTATACGTCAAAACCGATATAATCGTCACGTGAATGTTTAACAATAACGCAATATTGCTTTACACTTAGACAAGTTTCCTATATATGTATGTGTGTGTTCCACATATATAAGTAATCGCGGTTTAATGAAAAAAAGTAAGTGTATCTATATAATGCAGGAAACGGGTTATAACTAGTACGGGTAGAACCGACGCCATGTTTGCCTAAGTTTATCGCGACGATATCATCAGTAGTGGCGGAAATTTTCGATAATTTTGGCCGCGGTGACTGCTCGCGCCAGCCTTGCTTTTGAGATAGCTCCCCAAACTATAAGATAAACGACTACCGGATAGTGAAGGAACGTTTTATTTCGCTGCCGCTCGAGCAATGTGGCCGCTATACGACACAGTTATATCGCGGCCTTATCAAACAAATAATTCTATAATCAATGTTTATTCATGCGATTAAATTGCCTATTGAAAATATTTTTTACGTCTTGCATACAGAAATAGTAGTTTATTTTTGGAATAAATTTTGCATATTCCACAAAACTCTACCTTAGATATTCTTTTATTGTGTCTTTACAAGAGTCAATTGAAATTTTTATATCCTTGAACTTGGTTTATCAATTAATTATTGAAAAACAAAATGGTATGTTGAAATGTAAAACCTTTAAAAGACGGATAGTGCACTCACGTTAGTGTAAATAAGTAGAGATAGGAATCTCTATTGCTTAGCGAAATTGAACCCACTCTATATGGAAAGTATAGTAATTCACGAAACTCAGAATGGAACTTTGGCTATGAACTTTACTGTTATGGCTTCACATTAAATGCTGGCAAATGGACGAAACCCTCCTAGTTAGCAATTTTTAAAAATTACCTTCACAACCATAACTATTTCAATAAACCGTCTATGGACATACCCAGCCTAATGGAGCTACTTTCGTTTTGTTCCTTTGATGTTCTTCGACTTTGTTTCTTACTTTAAAGAATTTAATAATAATGACTACGCACTTGTTTTTGGGTACTGATGGCATTATATTGTTAAAAATTAGGGATAGTTGTATTTTATTGTAAGGTATTGCCCTTATGAAAAATAGAGGCTGAAACTTATACAACAATATTTCATCGCTTAATTAGAATAATGGAAGTATTCAAAATGTACATTTTTGTCTTGTATTAAGAAAGCATTTAATTTTTTTTAAATTATTTAAATAATTTTTTCCTTTAAAGTTTCAAATTTCCACAGAAGTATTATATATCATTTTAAAGTATTTAGATAATTATTACGTCTTAATAATTATCTAAATACTTTAAAATGATATATAATACTTCTGTGGAAAAATGCGTGGTTAACTTAATTAACTTACATAAAAGTAGGCAATTCTAGCTTCTAATTTTGAAAAATGTCATTTTTCTATATAAATGACGACCTGTAAATATAGTGATATTTACCATCTGTGTAAGAATCAACCACGCATTAGAAGAAATATCGATATATGCTATTATATTAGGTACATGTCGTTGGAATATTGGACATACTAGATCGAATATAACGATGTTATTTATGCATTTTTAAACTATCAACACAAGTCGTGTGCATGGCGATTCTCTTTTAAATATAAATATAATCAAGGCATAAAATGAAAATATAAATCTCGTGCATTCGATTCATGCCGTCTTGTGCGTGACTGGCGAAGCAATGTCGTGGATGATCGGTTCGTCATAGTGCAGCGATTGGAATTCATAGAAGAACGTGAGCGGAGTGAGTGTTTTTGGCACGGTCCGCTCTTCGGCCGATTTGCATATTTGTATGTCCCGGCCGTATGGTTCGCACGTGGCCGGCCTAGCGAACCGTCAGCGTTAGATCTCTTCACATGTAATTTATCTATAGCACATGTTGTTAACGTATGAATCTTGAGCGTGTAGCTCAGCATACGCTTTGTTTTCGTAATTAGGGAGTTAATAGCTGATATTTTTTACAATTGTTATTATTTAGTATAAGTACTTCTAATGATACATATATAGGCAGTGTCATGTAACAATTCATAAAAGTCCGTAGAATACTAACATATTTCTTACGCGTTTAGTGATTCATTACTCTGAAATCTGTATCTGAAAAAAGTATTGTAATGTTATTCTGCAATAGTAACAATAGCTTGAGAGTTGGTAGCAGGGCTCTCTATGCGAGTTTAGTTGGATACAAAAAGGTCCGGTAAAAAGCATAACTAAATTTATTCTAGTCGTATTATTGAGAACAACTGTCGACAAAGAAATACTTCTATAGAGTTCCACCTCTGTCTTTATTTATCTACTTCATATTTATTTTTAAGTGTAGCTCGATACAAAAGCATTTCCCTGTAAGGAACTTGATATGAAACAAATATAGCAGTTGAAGGCTCACAATACTTAGAAACACGTTTCATCGTAATTGTAGTGCGGGGTGTAAAAATTAAACGTCAGTCAACTATCACGTAACTGGCAGAGCAGAACGCTTCAACTAACCCTCCGAGATGCGAGGGAGCGTCTTCTGTCGATTTTATACTCGACTCGAAGTGAACGCTGCCAAGATTCTGCTACAATTTATACTAACGTAAACCCGACCCTCTTTATCTTCACATAAAAGTCGCTTTACTTTTGTTCTATGTTCAGATGACGGTCGATTTCCCCAGGATTTTCTCTTTTAAATCAAACTTGAAAATTTAATTAAAAATTCTGATCTACCTTTATATTTTACATTAGTCACAAAAGTTAAAATAAGGGGATTGAACTTATGTGGCTGGAAATTACAAATGTCGTTTTATCTAATTTCTTGTTTCTGTTAGACATCGAAATCCGCTTCTAAAGTTAAATATTCCGATTAAATTAATGGATATCTAGAAACGTTATATCCTCATATCGATGCAATCTACCGAAGCAACATAAATCTAAACTCGGTTTGAGGCTTTACAAAAGTCGGAACGAGCGACCCGCGGTTAATACTCCGCGATGTCAGTGGAGAATTTTGAGAGTCAAGGGCCATTCCAGGCATCGTGATCGCTTGAGAGTAGTACGGTCGAAATGAAACGTCGTATCTTATTTTATGATTAGCGGCTCGAAAGCGCTTTGTAATTTTGTTAGTTCCGCCTTTCTGGTGCTGGGGGCGAGCACAGCGAGTGGAGATCGATGCCAGCATTACGTGCGAGTGCGAGTAGGAGACCAATAGTCGATGCTTGCTTCGTCCCTGTCACACGAACCGCCTACTAGTCAGCCATGTTGCGCTCGACCTGCGCTCGCCCGACCGCCATTGTAGCATTCGTGACTAGTGATGCCCTCACAAACGCAATCGATATTATTTAATCTAATTTTATCGCAGACCAAAATTGTTATAATA